CAATGCTCCCTAGATAAGTGAATGAAGTAACCTCTTTCAAATCCCTCCCGTTGATGGTGATTGGCTCTGGATGTTGTTGTTTGGTTATTTTCATAACCTCCGTCTTTTCTATGTCCACCTGGAGTCCTGTCTTCACTGGCTGCTTCTTCGACCAGTTTGTCGGTTTTCGCTTGTAAGTCTTCGATTTTGTATGACATCAAACATAAATCATCCACGCGCGAAATCCAGGTCTTCTAGATTCTTCACGTCGGTCCAGGATATCCCTGCCTACTCGTTTCCCACTATCTGACGCATAATCCAGTCCACCACAGTTAGGAATATCATTGGTGATAATAAGCACCCTTGTCTGACTCCTGTGTTTACTCCAAACGCCTCACTGAGTTTTCCGTTTTGGATGGATCACTTGACATGTGCCATTGTCGTACAGCTGTTGAATAAGGTTGATGAAAAGCGTCAAAAATACTATCGGGTTTTCTAAACGAATATATGCAATAGAGACGTTCCAATGTTTTTTTCCATTTGGTTAACTTTCAGTTGTCAGAAAAGCTTATGAAATATACATTTGTCCAAATGACTGATATTCATTCTAATAAATACGCCTCCTTTGTAGAAAAGAGAGGAATTCTCTTGATTACAACTCCAATTTTCATCTTTTTCTAGTTTGACAGTTATTTTTCTTTGATCGTACAGTCTAGTAGCCTCCCTGGAGCCCTATTTAATATTCAAGTGTTGGTTTTCAGGGACATACGCTTGAGAATAAACTAAATCAACCTCAATCAACACCTTTATGACAGTGCCACACGTCAATTGGTCCATAAAGAAAAACTCAGCGAAACTTTTGAAGTGAAGACAAAAGTAAAACAAGGCTGCTCAACTATCACTGAAGACATTCCTGATTGCGGTGGACTGGATCATGAGTCAGACTGTAGGGAGCGAAAAGACAGGAATATGTTCAACTGATAAGAAAACTCTAGAAGATGTGGACTTCGTGGACAATTTACTTCTAATGTCGCTTAAACTCGAAGATCCACAGGCAAAAACCAACAAGTTGGTGGCAAAGGCGGGCAGCGAAGACGGGAGGACTGCAAGTGAGAATAGAGAAGGTAGAGGTGATGAAGACATCTGAGAAACAAAATCAATAAGCACCAATAGCTATCAAAGGAACAAATTTGAAAGAGGTCATTTGCTTCACTTATTTAGGCAGCCTTGTTTCAGCTACAGGCGGCACGCGTGAAGATGTTAAAGCCAGCCAGGATCAGAAAGGCAAGGCAGACCTTCATCATTCTGAAATCAGTGTACAAATTTGCTGCATTCAGCACAAACAACATAACTGGGATTTTCAACACCAATGTTAAGTCGGTTCCTCGATATGGGTCAGTGATTTGGCGCGTCACAAGATGCATTACAGAAAGACTTTCAGCAACACCTGTCTAGTCTCGATACTGAAGATGAGGTGACGAGAGAGCATTAACAACGAGGAACTCTGGCTGGAAACGGACCAACCAAGAACCCATTGTTCGACAAATATTCCAAAGAAAATGGAGATAGATCGGACACTGGCTGAGGAGACTGTTAGGAGACACTGCAAGCCAGGCCACCGATTGCAACCCTGCTGGGAAACGAGTTGGGCATTGGTCCGAGGGTGACATGGATGAGATCATATGAGGAGAAGATGAAAGCTTATGAGCAATAGGAGATCCGGCCAAAGGGGACTTTAGGAAACACAATGAATTGGAGATGTGCTGTTGAAGCACTATGTTCCACTTGGAACTCGAGGGAATAACAATACACCTGAAAATAAATCCAACGAACACTAGTCACTGACTAAAAGATTAAGTTATCTAGACTTCCAGTGAGGAGTTGTTCACCAAGTCGGGCGTGAGCGCAAATGGAAAGATTGGCAGAAGTTAAAACTCATGGGCCATTGAATTCCGCCCCAGTAGCTGAATAGTCAACTAAATGTAACCCCAACTCGTAGGTCCCGGGTTCAACCCCAGGTGTTGTCATGAGTACCTAGTGTTGAAAAGTTCTAGTATACTCTGCTTTCTAACTGATGTCAGTTCGCGATTTAACTTCAAGCTCTATTTAATATTAAAGTCGTATTCTTCAGTGCCGCCATGCAGATAAGGCAACAGTATATTTATGGAAATAATTAATTAGGTCATAAGGAAAGACGGGGTTACTCGAATGATTGAATACCGACCTGAGAGATTAGGGTATGCAGAAACAAAAATACATAAAAGCTCACAATAGAAGTATCTTTTTGACTGAGGAAATGTTATTAACGCTGTTAAGTAATTTACCATAGTATTGTAACGACAGAAGACAAGGGTCAGGCAACAGATCATTTATTGAGAAATCAAAAGATATTTTTAGATTTTTATGTACATTATTATTCGTTATTATTAGCAGAGAAACAACGTCTTCTCACTGGAAGTTAATCTGTCATCTCTTTGTGGCTGTTTCATTGATGGTCAGATTATATATCTGCAAATCGTATCCGCCCACGCAGTCTTTGTTCTTGTTTTTCTCATAACCAGGAAGTAAACATTGACGTAAATTGCTGTCTACCAATTTTGGCTAGCAGACAGCTCTCACCACAGTACTATCCTAAGACTAGGACTTTTATCATCAATTCTTCGTCTGTTAATTTTTCATGAACAAAAACCTTAGAGCTCATCGGTGGTTCACACGTAGAATGCTCGCCAGCCATACCGGAAATCCAGGTCCGATTTCTACCCGATGCACTCCTAAACTTTGCCTAGCCGGTAGTAAGCCCGAAAAAAGATGGAAGATTGAGCATGAGGCCGGCAATCCTACCCAATAGAAACAATACCACTGCTATTGGAACTTCAAAAGTTTGAAGCCCTATGCCCAGTCGGGTAGCGAAGAGTGAAAAACATCCTAGACATCTTTAAGATTTATTAAAAATCAGTATACATTCAACCGCTATTTTTAGTATTTGGTATGCGAATGTGAGAAATTAGTTACTTTTTCATTACACGTAGATTTAATCATACCTTCTTGTGTACTACATGAAGTATTAAAATTTCGAGAACTTTGTTTAACTTACGTACGACCTCATTACGAAGATACAGCAACCATAATTTTAATACATTTGTACAGCATCACAACTACAAAGTGTTAATTGATACTAAAAGCCTACTCTTTGGTGGTGACACATCAGCTTTTGAATGTTGAAGACATAAGGAACCCACAGATTCTCAGTCATAAACATAGTGCTCCAAGTTTTATGACTAATTCAGTCACACTTCGTCCCCCCCCCCCATAAACGACCTGGTACTGCCGCGGATGGGTACACTTCAGTGTTCCTCTTGAGAAATGCTCTTTTCTCTGGCCATGCGTTAGTAGTCTCTGCCAGGTAGGTATTCCTATTCACTATCTCTACTCAGTGCGGGTGTTCCTCATAAAAGTGAAATTACAAATGTGAACGTTCGGCGCTTACCAAGTGGGCTTGTAGACATAGACGTCAACCCAGACGAGCTGGTAAACCCTGATTCCAAACCTATGGTATAGCAAGAGCACCAAAATCCGAACGGATCGATAGATGCATGGACGTGATATTTGGTCACCAGAAACCATTGGAACGCAGCTGGTGACGCCGTTCAATTGCCTTATGGATGTAACTTCAATTCAACGGCTCAGGATTAACCTGATTCAATCTGGGCGTCCGAGCAGTAGTATCCGTCGCACATACACACACTGAAAGATTTTGTGTAGCGCATCTCTTGGTGCCCACAATGAACTAAGTTTGTGTTTTAATAACTATCATTATTGTTTCCTTTAATTCCTAGAGGAACATAGGGCTTCAGCCGTACGTCTCTATTGCGTTTGGTTCTCTGCTAGAGTCTTCACCTGGCTCCAAGTCTCCCCACACGTTTTCATCTCCTCTTCACTTCACATGAACTCCTCCAAGTCACCCCACCTTAACACTGACGACCAACTCGCCGCTTCCCTTTCGGGCTCCACTCGAGCAATGGCTTGTCTAGTGATGTCACTCACTTGATGGATTGTTTCCTCAGAGTATGGCCAGCCAATCCATCTCCATTTCTTCCTGCCTATTTGTTTCACAATCGGTTCCTGCTGAGTTGGTTCGCTCATTGCCAGAGATCCCTCGCTGTTGCTGATCCTTTCTGGCTGGCCATCTGATCTTGAGCGAAGTATTGAGCGAAGACAACTGTTAATGAAGGTCTGTAGTTTGTTTGAGATGCCCTTTATGACGCGCAGTGCAAGTCTCTGATCCGTATGGTGAGTAGCACTGACTTCACATTGGAGTTGGAAATCCGGATGTTATTTTTGATGGTGAGTGCTGTTGACCTCCACACAGACTTGAGAGTAGTGAAAGCTTGTCTTGCTTTGATATCCTCGTCAGTTCCGCCGCCTGTTGTTGAAACGATGCTTCCCAGGTAGGTAAAAGAGGTTTTTTCAGGTTCCTCCTATTTATGCTGACCGTTGTCTGTTGTTTTTGATAAGACTAATTTGAAAAACAGTTATTGTAGTGGTCAGGCCATAAGTCCATATAGTCGCTTAATATTACAATGATATAATATAGAGATGATAGAACTTACGGTGCATGGCATAATTCTGCACGTCTTTTAATCATGACACTTCTTAGGAATATCAAAAACCCGGTACAGGTACCAGCCTATACGAGCCATACTTATTGTTAAAAAGAAGGGATAGGATAATACTCTGCAGTTGCTCCATCCTCACCCCCTGCCCCGAAGCTGAAGTAGGCGGAGCAGGCTTTGGAGAACTGGGATCCATTTTCCTGAAAGCCGACTAACAACTACTACTACTTAAGCCAATGAATCAATAAGTTCACAATATCAAAAGAACAGAACAACTGTAATGCGACAAAAATATACCTTTTCTGTTTTAATCAACAATCTTTGTGAATTTTTTCCAAAAAAAAAGAAACAGCATAACAATGGAAGATACAGCCCAGAAGAAGAAGAAGAACAGGAAAAAAATCAGATAGAAAAAGAATACAACATGACAGAAAGGCGGAGAAGGGAATTATTTATTACACAGTGTCAATTAATCCTTTCAAGGTAAAGGAAAAAGAAGAAGAAGGACTCAGGGGTAATAACCCCACCAGTGGATATGAGATTGTCCTGAGAAATTCTGGACATTTCAACAAACAAACAAACACACGCGCATGTACATACACATACGTCAGCCATTTAAGAATTGAGAAACTTGTCATGGCAATGAATGATAAAGTAATACTGTAGCAAAAACGCGAGACAAAGTGAGGTGGTGGTGGGGTGGGGAACACGGGAGAATATACATTGGTACACAAACTGATTAAAATGTAAACTTGATAAAAAGGTCGTTTGGAATTCATTTGATCTGTCTCTTTACAATATGTTAACAACAAAAAAATTCTGAAAGACACAGCAAAACAAAATACCACTACTACGACGCCATATTTTCAAAGGGGAGATTATATTGAAAAAATAATAAATTTCAAAAATTTCGTAGGATGGAGAGAGAAGAAAAGAGAGAGAGATAGAGGGTCAGTTGTAAAAGAAATGAAATCGAAGAGAAATCAGGGCATTCGAAAGTAGTTAGTTAATCCCAGTAGTGGTCTTTTACTGCAACAATGTGTATATGTGTGGTCTATTCACAAGTAACTACATGCATGCGCTTATGTGTATATCTCTATCTTCTATTGCTGAGATCTGAAAGGTGTGATATGGTTTACACGAAAGTTGTAAGCCGGTAATTTCAACAGAAAATCGAACTGAAATACGATAAGACAAAAAACACCTGAAAACGCATCGTAAGCGAGTAGTAAGCAGAAGAACTGATGCAATATACCGTGGACGTATGTGTGTATATAAACACATATGTGCACCACACAGTTAACTTTATTTACCTGAAAGACAGAAATAAAGACTTATGCATAAATACAAACTACACACATAAAATAAACAAGATCAATAAAGAAAACCCGACAATATAATGGTAAAATGATAAATACTTGTCGGTTGAATTAGTTAATATATTCTGCTTAATGGCATTGATTATGACTTCCATGGTGACATTGAAACGTCTACGTAACGAGGAGGAAAACATATTGACGTTAATTCGATTGTTGTTGGTGTAGATTGAATTCTATCAGTCAGCTTAGCAAGGTGGTCACTCTGCTCTGCTAGGTAACTCAATATTACAGTGGTATTCTGAATTGTTAGTAGATGATGATTAGAGACAATCGTTAGGAAGTCTTGGACCTAGATTCTGTGCTGGTTGCATCAAACGGAGGACTAGACGTATGATATTAGTTGCTTACTGTCTAGTGTCCAAACAGAGTATCTCATGCAGTCCTACAGGAGGTCTGTCACGAACAATTTCATTTGTGCACATAACTGCCCGCCAGTGGACAACAATCCTCCAACGAAAGCAGAAATCCTAAATGCGATCAAGATACTGAACGCCATCCGGGAAGGCAGCAGGACCAGATGGAATCCACTCACACCCCGAAGCACTTGAAACAGACCTAGAGACTGCGGCAGATGTGTGCTGACATCGTTATTGGAAAAGGTTTGGAAGGAAGGGAAGGTGCCTACCGATTGTAAGAAAGACTAGCTACCTTGTCAGGCTACCAAAGAAGGACTACCTAGGTCTGAGCATGTTCACGCCAAGTAAAATACTAAGTCACATCATCCTGGAGAGAATAAAGGATGCACTGGATACAAAACTCCGCCCCACTGACCAGAACAAGCTGGATTCAAGAAAGGCAAATCATGCGCTGATCAAATTGCAACTCTACGCATCATCATCACCATCGAACAAAATACAGAATGGCAGTCAGACCTTTACCTCAACTTCATCGACTTCGAAAACGATTTGAACACCACTGACCGAGAAGTAATTTGGAAATGGCTCCAAAACTACGGCGTGCAGCGCCCAAGTCTTTATCAACCTCATTCAACAGCTCACTACATCACAATGCCACGTGTCAGGTGATCCACAACGGAAAACTCAGAGAAGCGTTCGAAGTGAATACGGGAGTAAGACAAGCTGACTGCATATTATCACCAGTGATATTCCTAATTAAGGTGGACTGGATTATGAGTCAGACTGTGGGAAGTGAGAAGATAGGAATACGTTGAATCGATAAGAAGACTCTAGAAGATCTGGATTTCACGTCTGGATGATTTATGTCTAATGTCGCACAAACTCGAAGACTTGCAGGCAGGCGAAAACCAACAAACTGGCAGAAGAAGCAAGCAGCGGAGACAGGACTCCAGGTGAACATTGATAAGACGGAGGTGATGAAGATAGCCAACCAACGAACAGCGACAACAACAACAACAACCAGTACCAGTCACCATCAACGGGAGAGATTTGACAAAGGTTACTTCCTTCACTTACAGTGGAAGCACGGTTCCAACAACAGGCGGAACGGATGAAGATGCCAAAGCCAGTTAGAATCGGAAAGACAAGATACTCCTTCATCAACCTGAAACTAGTTTGCAAATCTCCTCCACTCAGCCAGCATAAAGAACAAGATTCAGATTCTATTTAACACAAATGTGAAGTCAGTTACTTCTTCTACACGGGTCAGAAAGTTGGTGTGCACGTCACGAAAAGGATTTCCAACAAGTTACAAACCTTTATCAACAACTACCTTCGCTGGCTGCATACTGAAGATGAAATGGTTGGCCAGAAAGAATTAGTTACGAGAAACTCTGTCTGTTAACAAACCACCCAAGAGGCGATTGCTCAGCAAATAAGTAGGAGAAAATGCAGATGGATAAGGCATACGTTGAGCAGGCCATCGAATGACATCGCGCTCAATGCAGGCCACTGCTTGAGTGCAATCCCAATGGGGAGCAACGAGTGGGTCATCTGAGGGTGACATGGAGGAGATCGTGTAATGAAGAAGAGATGAGAGATTATGGTCAACCGTGGACCCAGTTGAAGAGGACAGCACCAAATAGAACAAAGTGGAGATGTCTTGTTGAAGCCTTATGTTATACTCGAAACCCAAGGGAGTAATTATAATAATAATAATAATAACAATAATAATATGTCCTCCTTAAATCTCTCTTGCAAAGTGGATCCTAACAATCAAGTTCGCACTATGGTCATTATTATCTAGGAAACTCTCCATCGTGAAGTTTTCTGAATTATTATCTTATTGGTTTAAAGTAAAGGGTGGGAAGCCATGGATGAACTTAGGTTTTCTATTTACTGGCATTCATCGACAAGGAGTATCTGAAATTACTACTGAACTTAATTTCACCTTTCATGTATGCTCGAAAATTTATCTCTTACTATATGCATACTTCTTTTCTTATTGACGTTAATGTGTTGCGTAATCCTGATGACATTTTCATTACAATTATGTAACTAACGATGTGACCTATTTTTACATCTTCAAAACTTTTCTATGTAAATACGTTATTCCACCTAAACATTTTCCTTTCTAAGTTGTACATATTCAATGATTGTATAGATATAAAATTCGACAGAGAAAGATCCCGCCAATTAAATCCTAACTACTAGAGGTAAACTAATGAAACCACTGATAGGCAAAGCGGATTGGACAGCGATACACATTTATGATTTCACAAAAAATTGTGCTACATACGTGCTTCACACGTTTCGACACAAAAATACACGATCCTTACCATGTAGTGTTATTTCTACAGTTACATTCCAAAAGCCTATGATTTATTATAGTTTCTATCATCAAGTCCATTTATGGCGGTCGGTCGGTCGGTATTCGACATGGAACTTTGCACATGTGTGCGCCAGTTCAAGTCGCCACACTCCCTCCTTTTAGCACACAAAGCAAGAGAAGAAAGTAGGAGAAATGCATAATATAGACAGTAAACAGATGTGTGAGACAAAGGAATAGTAATAACGAAGAACAAAACAGTTTCATTGGAAATCATAAGTCACAAGGAGTGGATGCATCTGCACCAGCCACTGAGAACGATTTTGAGCCATGTCACCAATTGTTTCCAACCATTGGTTTTCACCGTCCCGAGGACCCCAACCAGGAAGCCAGTCTACACCTTCCTACGTGGCTGGCTTAAATTAACTGTTGTAGATTTCATTGACTGGTGAGGCCATGTTTTCGTTTGACCGCCGCTAGCTCTTTTCCAGCCTGACCCTATATCAGCTAACATTGCCCATTTTCGAGGAAGGCGATCACTAGGCATACGTAGCACATGTCCTAACCATCTCAGTCGATGTAATTTCACAGTCTCGTCGACTGATTTCCCCGCCTTACCTAGCACTCGACGCCCAACCTCAATATTGCTCACCTTATTATACCACTTCACGCGGGAGATAGAACGCAGACATCTATGATCGAAGACAGCTAATCTTTTCATGTCTTCTGCTCTCAATGGCCAGGTCCCACAGCCGTAAAGGACGACGGAGCGGACTGTTGAGCAGTTCACACGCCCTTATGGCGCAATGGGGTGAATAATACTGAGATTAAGCGTAAAGTATTAGGTAAGGAGGGATAGTCAGTCAATGATATTTTGAAACTGTAAAGGATTGAGATGATTGGAGCATGGTGTTACGCATGCCAAACCACTGCCTTCTTCGACTGGCAATTGTTAACAGACATCAGGTTACGTTGGAAAAGAGTTAATGATGGTTAAATCAAAGCCTACCAGTGATCTATAAGTTCTTTGACTGTTGTTTCTCAGCTGCGTAGGGAGACTGCGTAGTTGTAGACTGACTTGAGACACTATGAACCAAAATGGCTGGAATGTTGGTGATAAGGCTGAAAATCTTTCTCATTCATTAACTCTTTGTAATCTCCCAGATTCATTAAATCCTCATTACTCTTCTTTTTTTTCTCCCGTACATTTCCGCGTATCATAATTCCTTTGAATTTCTAATTTTCGCTACTTTTGTGTATTTTTGTGCAAATCTTTACCTTGAACACTTAGTCAGTCAGTAATTTGTGACAAAAACCAACTCCGAAATAGAAGGGAAAAAACATCTTTCCACAAATTTAACTCTCCATTTTTGATTGATTACACAGTCTCAACATAATGCTCCCTTATATTAAGAGAGTTTTCATCTCTAATCAATAACAATATAAATCAATAATGATTTATATACTAGATATATCGTACAGTTAAACAACAGTAATCAGTCGGAGTGATTTGTTTGTTGGTGGCTAGACAAGGAAACAAGGATAATCGCATGCTTCTGTCTGAAACTCTTCAGTACCCGCATCCTCAGTGAATGACACTGTTCCCACTGAGACTAGAGCCCAGGTTCAAAACTCTAAAGCGTCATCCATTAGACAACTGGGCCATGAGAGAAGTGAAACAGTTCAAGCTGCAACACTACATATACCACACAAAGATAGACACAAGAGAGAGATAGAGGAAAAAGAGATTTAAAAGAACTATAATGTTTTCATTGAACACTAGTAACTAGTGTGACGTCCAAGGCTTCCTGTCGATTGTCTCCAACTATCTAATATCATCAGAACTATGATAAGCGGAAATGTGAGGGTGAAAGAATAGTAACACGGAAAAATATGACGATTTCTAGCGGATATGAGAGATAACGGAGAGTGAATGCACCTGCGCTATTGAGAGAGGTTTCGAGCCATATCAACAACAGTCACAAGCCAATTGGTTCTTAGAGTTTCGAGAACCTCAGCAAGTCAGTTTAAACCTCCTCGCGTAATTAAGGCCATCAACCAGTGACTTTATGGTTGGTTTGATGCTAGGTTCTGATTTGACCAACTCTAACACTTTTCCAGCCTAGTTCTATATCAACTAACATTGCTCCACGAGGAAGGCAGTGTTTCGGGATGAGCAGCACGTGTCCTCGCCATCTTAATCTACGTGATTTCATAACCTCATCGACTAACTTTCCTTACTTATTTAAAAGTCTATCCCTAACCTAAATATTACTCATCATATTATATCTTTTAACAAGGCAGAAATCGAACGTAAACATCTGTGGTCAAAGACAGCTAATTTTTTCATGTCTTCCTCATAAAACGGTTATATCATAGAGCCATAATATTTAGATATCTAGAGAGTATCTTGGTGCCTAAACACACACACCTCACTCCACCGTCTCCCCGCAAAAATGAAGCGATTTTAGAGACTCTGGATCACTTACTGGTAGAGTATCCACTGTCTCGACAACTAACTACATTAAGACAGTAACAAATACAACAGTGACACCAATTAAAATCAACTTACTCAGCAATATAAGGGGTAAAGTAAGTATAGCCAGGTTTAAAGATACACAGAGTGTAGGGAAGATGAGACGGAGGAGATTACCATCTATGATTGTTCTTGTTGTTGTTCTTTTTCTTCTTGTTGTTGACCATTTTGAGTAGAAGAAATCTGTGAACGATAATCTAACATTTCTATTAACTGTTGGATTTCTTTGACAGCATCCCGTCGCATTGACCTATAGTCTTCATTTCCATCCATGTTTAATGCATCCAGATTTAATATCATTTGTTCCATACTCTCCATAAGACATCGGTACTCTTTACTCTGAGGTGAACCTATGAAAAGATTATTAGGGTGTATAGAAAAAAGTGTTTGTGGATTGGTTTATTCTTTGAAAATCTGTCATGTATAAATTTATGCTATATAACTTACAGGCTTTCTTTGCACGAAACACTAATGCCGGAGAGATGGAGGAAATACATTGTTATCATTAATATTACCAATAAAATCAAATGATAGGAAATAATAGAATTATATGAATTAAAACCATTGTGGCGTGTGCTACGGATAAGATTTAGGAATAGTGGATTGATGCAGATTGATAGGAAGCAGCCAAAATGGAAATCAACATTTTAAGTTAATGGCTGCAGAGGTAGAAGTGTTTATTTCTCAAATCTGGATCTAGTTTACGTTGTGGACATGAAATAATCTTATTGGACAACTTTTCGTCCCACTGTTTAGCCTTGGGTCGACAGCCAACCAATCAGACCTAGCAAGCTTTTAATGTGCTGTCAGTTACCAACTATCTTATCTTCTAACGTTACACCACCTCTTGAATACCGAGTGGAACACAGGGCTTTGGAGTTTCAGTAGTGGTATTATTGTTTCTAGGTGGTAGGGATTGTTGGCTTGACACTCAACGTTCCATCATTCTTCCGGATTACTACCGGCTTATAAACTAGACAAGGTTTAAGAGGGCATCGGCATGGAATCGAACCCGGATCACATGTGTCGTTGGTAAGCATTCTATTACTGAACCACCAAGGCACACTAATAATACAGATTATATAAAATTCACCAATAGATATTTTGAAATATATAATTTTTGATTGAAAGACCTGGTCCAAAAGTCGTAGATGAAATCAAAGAGCTTTCATAGTCATGCGGCAAAAGTTGATGAAATCATCGTCATAGGCGATAAGTATGAAGGTGAAACTTAATAATAATAATTTGCTTTATTCCAGAAACAGTACGAGTGGTACAGTGTGGAATTTTCAGCACAATATCTACAATATTTGCATCTAATTTTATCAAATATTTAAAAGGAGTATTTAACAAAAAAAATAAATCTAAAGACACCAGCAGCAAAAAAACAGGGAAAACACAAAAAATTTTTTTAAATGCGAAAAAATACCAAGTAGAAAGGAAAATAAACAGCATATAATAATATCTCAGTATTGGGTAGTGGAAGCTATGATATGATTATGCATGGTGACAGTAAAGCTATAGTCATACAAGAAGTTATGAAATGATATTTAAGAATGTTTATTGCCAAGATGATTAGTTAATTTGATTGAAACAACTCTAAACAATCATAAAATAACATTTCAGGGTTGTTGTTTTGTTTTTTATTGTCAGGTCTAATGCAGTGTTTGTAGTGGTAGTGTGAGTAATCCTGAATAATACAAAATTTTTAAGGTGGTGACAATGGCGTTCACAACCAATGATTGTCAGTTTAATATTGCCGAAAAGTATAGAAAATAAGAAAAAACAACCACAAAACTAATAATTACATGATGGTTAATGACAATTTTGTAATACTCATAGTGCTAATAGAGTCGGAACCAGTAGATACACAAAAGAAGGAATACAGTAAAGTACAAAAAGTAAGCCAATGTTAATAATTTATGTAGCTAAGTATGTTTAAGAAGGTGTTTACTATAGAATACAAAATAAGAGAGAAATAAAAGAGCCTAAAATTATGTTATTGACAACAAAGCAAGTCATAGGTTTCGCGCTTAACATTGTCTCTGTCGCTTAGAACACAGGCCAAGTATGGTATCGTTGAGTTCCTGTACTTGGTTGTACGAGCATAGATTATTTTATACTGATTTCTGGTTCTACCTGATGAGATACAAGGCGAGAGTTGGGAATAGAGGGGGTGTTGGGGGTCGGAGAGTATGGTTTTTGACCATTTTTCGCATGTATTCAGATGTCTTTCAACTAGCGTAGTGACGAGCTGACTGAGTTTTACACCACTAGTCCTACTAACTACCTTCAACATCCTTCTCAGGATGGTATAGTCCTTTTTCAGTAGACCAGGAAAGACTAATGCGGATAGACTTAGCTTTGTACAAAATCATATCAGCTTTATACGTGAAGAAGCATGTACCAGATAAGCTGCACTTCTAGACATATTTTTGAGTCGGATGGTTCATTCAATAAAGCGATCCATTGACAGAAAGCCTACTTGAACAGGATAATATATTCTAATTTTCAGTTTCTGTTCATTACGATAAAAGAGATAAAGGATTTAGCGTATCTATACAGCTGGATACAGCACATCATGACAATAAAATGTTGACTAATATACTTGTTGAAATCGAACATGCTTTGGAGTTTTTTGAGGAGGATAGTTAATCCTAAGACAGACCTAAATTACGTCAAATTACCTTACAATAGGGAAATAAGTAGTATGACTTTAAGACAGCGACTAAATTCTGTCATCCACAAAACTTACAATGTAGCACGGCTTACAATTATCAAAAAAGCCAAAAACATGCTCTACTACAGGCATCAACGGTGCTGAAATGATTATGTCACGTCCCAAGTTGTATACGCATTTACATATGTGTGGACACACATGAACAGGCATGTGAAATACAAACCAGCTTCAAACCTCAATAGACGTAGATGGCAGACTGCCAGTCTCGTCTACAGTAAAACACAATATTGTTGTGAATCATGAGATTGATATCAAACCAGCCTTCAAGATTATCTATACGAAACCGTCAGGTGAGCACATGGTAATACTCTAAGGCGAAAGCCATCCGTAAAATAACTCCACCCCACCCTGTGTACATAAAAAAATTATTACTCTTAGCCTACCTTCATAATTGCTAACTTATTTTATCGCTGAGATTAGTGTTAATTATTATCCTTCTTATCCTTGAATCCCTTATCACTTTGTTAATTTTAATTAACTTTTCACATTATTTATGGAAATTGACCTGACAAGTGTATATGTAGTCAGACTGTTCGAAATGTATTCCATAAATATGTCACAACATTTTTCAAATAAACTATCTCTTTTTTAATAATGCCATCGAATCAAAACGATAACATATGTGTGGTAAATTAATTATATAGGATTTTTACACTGACACTCAACATTCTGATCCAACTTGTCGTTTCTGTTACAAGAGAAGACAAAATGTAAAGCCTATACAGATCACTTTCAAGCAGTGTGCCTCCGATTCGAATCCCGCTGCCAGCAGCTTCAGTCCGACGGCAAATGGGTAGTATCATCAGCCCTTATACAGAAAACACATGGCTCACAGCCTGATACATACTAATAAATTACTGATTACTGTGTTGTTTCTCTTCTACTTAGAAGTTATACTACTGAAGAGAGGAAAAAATCGAAGATTCCTATCCTTCTCAATATCCTAAGTTAATAATAAGACTGAATTAATGTACATGCGAAAACCAACAAGTTAGCAGGAGAAACAGGAGATGAAGACAGGACTTCAAGTGAACATGGAGAAGACAGAAGTACAAAGGGACTTCGGATACGCCATCTGTACATAGCTGAAGTATTAGCTATTCGAAAGCTGAAACCGGCCTTCTGCATCCAAAAGCGATACATACATTCTCTCGCCTTACCATGGCCAGAGTAAATTTTTCACCACAATTTTGCTTCTTTATTATGTAAGTTCACTATTATTACTATTATTATATTATTTTATTAATACTTTTATTATCATTATTGTTCCCATCATCCACATTTTATTACCACTCTATTACTGTTTATTAATAACATTGCATTTCATACAGATTTTACACAAAAACACTTTATAGCCTTTCCACTAGTTCCTGTCCATTTTACACGAGCTTATTGATTATTCATTATCTCACACTTATTACGTCATACCAACTTCTGTCTCCTTTCCAACTTACAATTAGTCATCCCTTCTTACACCTTACATTATGTAATACAATTTTCCAAGGACAAAATTTACCAGTATCTAATTGATCTAAAGATTTCTTTGTTAATTATAATTACGATTGTACAGCTCATGAAAATGAATCGTCGATAAAAGAAGATTTTCTTCGCTGTTTGTGCCTTTTTCAGAAGACAGAAGTGATGAAAATACCTAATCAACAATAAGAAGAATCAATCACTATCAACTAGTGGAATCTGAAAGTCACTTCTCTCATTTACTTCACCTGGGCAGCATCATTTCGGCTACAGGTAGCACAGATGTGAATGTCGAAACCACGATCGGAAAAGCAAGACATACTTTCATTAGTCACAAGTCAGTTTGGAAATCTATTGTACTACACAGAAAGAACAAAGTCAGAATTTTCATCACTAATGTGAAGTCAGTCAGATCTTCTATATGGTTCAGAAACTTAGCGTGGGCATCACTAAAGGCATTTCGAACAGGTTTAGGACTTTTGCCTGCTGTCGCTCCCTGAACAATGAAGATCATATAGCTGGCCAGAAACGATAGGCAACAAGGAACCCTGGGAACAAACCACCCAAGAACCTATTGGCCAACAAATATTCAGAAGGAAATGGAGACGGAGTGGACATACGCTGAGTAGTCGTTTGAGTGACATCGCGCACCAGGTCACGCCTCGATTGGAACCTGAATGGGAAATGACGAGTTGGGTGTTGGTCCGAGACTGGCATGAAAGAGACAGTGTCAGGAGGAGATGAGAGCATATCCTTAATCGCGGAGCCAGCGAAATGGGAGTGCAGAGAAGAGGGTGAAATGAAGATGTGACTTTGAAGACCTCTGTTCTACTCAGAACTTGAGGGAATGATAATACTGATAATACGAAACAAAAATGTTAACGAATACTTATAGACAATGATTACAAACACATTGAATCAAACACTAGTCACTGTAATTATTTTATAGTATATGCTCAACTTATGTGCTCGCTTTGCTTCATAATTTCCTGAGAATATCCATCACTTACCTTCAAAACGATTTATTTCTGGTTGTAGAGCACGTGCCTTTGAAATAACATCAGTGATTATACTTTCGCAGTTAGAAATTTTTGCATTGGTTACCTGCTTTAATAGTAGTCAATGTGTTAGTATCAAATAAAACTTACCTGTTCACAGTCTTGTTCTCCATTACTATTATTATTATTGTTATTGTTATTATTATTATTGATATTAACATTTCTAGTTGGTTGAGGTGAATACGCCTTATTTGTTACAGGATGTTCCCATTGTGTAGACCTGGTGTTATGATCTACGAAATACCATCTTCCTGTTCTCGGATCGAATCGCATTTCCCAACCAGGCGGTAAAGACTCAGCAGGATTCATCTTTCATACAATCAGAAGTAACAGATTTCTGGAATTAAACCAATATACAGAATCAATATTATAAGACTATGTGATGAGTCTAAAAATAATAGTATTAGCCAAACAAATAGATCAATATTACTGTTAACAGACAAACTTGGTACATTACAGTCACCAAGGGATATACCATACAAAATCTCGTAAATTGTGCGAGGGCTGGGATACTATCTGGGTGCTCAGACCGAAGCAGATAGTTGTCTTAGGGAACCAACCACCAGAACTTATGACTTGAAGTCACATCCACAAGGCAGTGGAGCACCATTACGAGCTACATTCCCACGGTTGCCAGTGTCAGAAACAGGCTCATTTGCCATCCGATTGTTACGGATCCTGAAGCCCATTTACATCAAAGGTTTGTAGTCACGGTTCCCCGGCTCCCCCTAGGTAGACTAGCACGTACACCCATCCAGCTGAAAGTGGTAGATGTCCATATTCGCTCTTTCACTTTTGTGAAGGACAACCCAGCCACATGATGACAGTGAAAAGGACTTAACCCGGCAGATATTATGAACGTGTGACCGCATGACAGTATTTCGAGAGGAATCCCACAGTCCACCAACGCTCGGACGTACCAAGTCGTTTATAGGAGCTAGCTCGTCATGCGTACAGTTCATCAGATTGTCAGTAGTTAGCAACAAAAAATAAGTACAGAAGATACATGAAAGCTACTTCTAAAAATCATTTACTGTATGCAGATAAGGAAATTGCAAATAATCTATAGAGAAACTAGTGAAAAGTGAAATGCGCCTTACATTTCCAAGTGTTGGTTTGGAGGAATTTGACTGGCTTCAAGTTAGATCACAAACTGATGTCATTTAAAGAATCGCTGAAAACCAATGAGTACTGGACAGCTGTCTCACCCTAGTTTTGCTACTCTTCAACAGCACGCACCCATGTGCTCCACTGAGAGTCAGGTTACTAGGTGAACTCATGGATCATTCAGGAAGTGGGACAGAATCTAACGATCCATGAATTCTAAACTTCACCCGATTCGCAAGACAGTGTCATCGGCAAGTATCTGTCTTCATACCCATCTCGGTGAACCATACTGGTTACTGGATGAGAAATAGATATCGATCCTCCAACTGTGTCTGAAGTCGCATAAGCTGCCTGAAATCTAAAAAGAAGGAAATCAGCAGGACCCAGTGGTATGACGCAAAGTCTTCACAGATGATGATAAGTTAAAGACTGTGCAGTTTCATCCGGCTACAGACTGCCATATGGTAAGTTGAGATGCACAATTTTTCGAGACCTTTTTAAACTCCCTGCACACGACTAACTTTCTGGTGGCCAAGCAGAAATATTTCACTGCTGTAGTATGACCTCAGACTCCCGCCACACACTAAACCACTTATCCTATGATGATAACTGCTTTTAAAGCGACTGATTCTTAGAATTCCAACAAAACAATCAGAAAAAATTATATGAAAAGTGTGATGGATTCGCGCAACACATTTCAAACATTTTGACTATATATGTGACTGTCATACACATCTATATAAAATCTGACAAAAATTCAAAGAACTTGACAAAAGTCAAGTTCTGAGTATATTGATTCAGTGTTGACCCTTTATACTCTGTTAACTTCTATGCAAATATGCATAACAAGGACAAGAATGTCCTGAATGTGTTGCGCAAATACATCACGCATCTCGAATAAATAACGCTTTATTGTTAACTGTTACCCAACCAACCTGTCTAGTATGATAGAACCTACAGGAACAATTGTTCCATCCGATAAGGCTTAACGAGTCCCTGAGATGTATGTATGTGTATGAGAATATGAAGCAGTCCTGTTGGACTAGTGTAGATTACCGATTAATCCAGTTTATAAGAAAGGAAGCATAGTGACAATTATAAGAGGATCAGCTTGACTCACAAAATATCCACGATTCTACTTTTTCTAGTCCTGCGGAAACTAGGTAGAACTCGGTGGAAACAACACAAGAGGAAACCAAACAGGCTTTAGGTTCAGGCAAGGTTAAGATGGTCATATCTGCACCCATCAACAGGTTCCGAAACACAGACATACTTCCTGTCGTCCAGTCCTTGCCATATTTCTCGACCTGAAGGTGGCACTTAACTCTATCGAACAAAAGGTGCTATGGCGACGTCTCGTTATGCAGCGATAGCATAACTGTTCAAGATCTCATGAAAAGTTCTCATCTGAAGTGACGACGATAAGTGATTTCCATCAATGATGCCCACTGTTAACACTTTTAACTTTCCTGCAGATGTAATAATGGACATGACATTGGTTGACTTCGATGTTTCAGAGATTGACTTATTACCAGAGTGTTCTCATCACTTCGTGCAGAAGAGTAAATGTGCTTGGTATGCGACTGTCCAACTATATCAAAATAGTTGACCATAGATGTTTGTCTTCTATCTTTCGTGTTAAGTGGTATTATATGGCGAATAATACTGTTCGGCGTAGTGTTAGGTAAGGAAGGGAAGTCAATCGATGAAGTGGTGTTACGACATCGACTAAGATATCTAGGACACGTATTGCGCGTCCAGAACTACCATCCTCCTCGACGAGCAATGTTAGCTGACATCGTACTAGGTTGGAAACAATTTGAAACCCGGAATCAAATAAGGAAGCCACTGACTGTTGATTGGAGTCACGCAGAGAGAGATATGGAATGCCTGCCCGGATGCTAATAAATAATGGTTAGAGACTTTTGTAAATATGGCTTAAAATCGTTCTCAATGGCGTAGACGCATCCACTCTTTTTCATCCCCCAGATTCATTAAATCTTCATGATTCCCTATGTCACTATTCCTTCCGTAAATGTCTGCTTATAATGGTTCTTTTAAATTTCGTTTCTCTATTTACCATAACTTTGTGTGCTACGTAGAGTGTGGTAACTTAAACTACCGCACCTGTTTGCACTCCTATGTTGTGAATCAATCAGTCAGCGTATCGAAATGAAGATGACGCTGAAGGACTGATGTGAACCAGCTCCTCGTTTAAAGATGGGGAGTGAAATGATTAGATGTGTTGACCACTACATCTACTTAAGATTCCAAACTAAACTATTTACCAACAAAATCTCAGTACAAACACACAAGGCTCGTCCAACACTTACCAACTTGTGTCATCTTAAGCTAAAGCGTGATATCCAGCTACTCATCGAAGGACGTGTGTAATAAGCAGAAACTCATTCTCCATCGTACTTTATGCCCATGAAAAATAGCTGTTGGGATTCGAAGATATGGAAAGATTATTAGTTTCTGATCATAAGTATCTGCGTTCCACCTCTTACGTTAGGTATAATAATATAGTCAGTAATAGTGTTAGACGTAGTATTAAGTACGGACAGAAAGTCGATCACCGTTCTGAAGTTCCATTGATTGAATGAAAGTGTTTCACCGGTGTGTAATGAAGTCACTGTCGTGCCCACCTTTAAAATGGATTCATGTAATGCATGTGACACTTGTAGGGGTATCTCTTTATCTCAGTTCCAAGAACAGGTCTCTTATATTCCACGCGATGAGCCATACATTTTTATTGTTAGGATTGGTGATACTACCCAGTTTCCCAGGCTGAGGTAGATGGGGCGGAGTTCAAAGCCAGGGCCTACTGACTGGAAGCTGAGAGCTTAAGTTAGTGAGCCACATTTGCTACTAGTTACGTCATAAAATATTGGTTGTTATTTTGCCTGTAGGCTATGAAACGCGTCAGAAACGGATTCGCGAAGAGCAGCCTGGGTTTAGTCTAAGCCATGCATGAAGTGATGTGTTAACCATTCGTCAGCCACTGGAACACCGCCACTAGTATTGCAGGGCAACATTAGTCATATTTTTTATATTAGGGACACCGATTTGTCAGACAGAACTGCGCTTTGTTAGTTATAGAGGTGTTCCTGGAAAGTTCGCTAACATCCCGAAAGCACTATACAGAAACGCCTCAGGTATCACTGCTGTTTTCAACCTACAGTGGGGTCAGGTAGGGCTGTCCAGTCTCACTATTTCCCTCTAATTTTGCCATTGGTGACATTCTGGGGACAACTCTGGGGCGCGTGAGCGATAGTGGTGATGTAGATCTGCTTCTTAGAGAAAGACTTTTCGATTTCGAGTATGCGGAACATGCCATCTTACTGTGAGACAACATTCGAACCACCTAAATTGCACTAAGTCAGTTAGCGACCAATGTTCGTGCTATGCAACAACTAGTAGGAGCCGGCAGTCGCAATAATGTTCGTACGTGAACCGCCTGAAGTTGCCAATAGGTCTAACTGACTCAGTTTCCACATAGAACTTCACACAGAAATGCCACACTTTGCGTAGCACACAAATGTAGACAAAAGAGAGACAAAAGATTGAAAAGAACTAGAATGAGCAGAAATGTACAGGAGGAACAATAGTAGCATGGAAAAACATGACTTAGTGGATATGGGAGATCACACAGAGTGAATTAATCTGTGCGGTTTTACAACAATTTTATGCCATATCACCAGTAGTCTCCAGCAATTAATTTTCAACATCCTGAGGACCCAGCTACGAATTCTACATATCTTTTTATGGCTGTTTATATAGTGTTTAATAGCGAAACGTCAGAAAACATATTTTGTTTTTAACTCATTGGTAAATATAAAAACTCTTAAAAGGATGAATATCATATACCCAGTGCCCAGAATTTTTCCACAATGTTAAAAGTGAACTTGGTTTGGACCTACATAACAGCTTAAATATCCTTGGTTTCCCATTGAATTAAAACAGTCGAGTTCATATTCTTAATATGGTTTCAGAATCATTTACTTCATAAAGCCATTTTCTAAGTTTAAGTGATACCCTTGTTGTACGACCAATACATAATTTATGACCCCCACTTTATTACTACCCAGGCTAACTATAATTCTGAATTAATTCTCGCTGATTCTGAAATAACCCTAACATTTTGTAGTGAGTACATTCTGAATCTGTTCTAAAATGGTTTCATTAAGCGCATAGACTAGAACGCAGTGCTGGTTTTCAGAATGGCTGGAACTAATTCAGCACCCCGTGGTTTTTCTAGACATTTGCAGTAGATCAGAACCTACTAGCTCAGGGAACACTGGGTTTGCTTATCAGCGTTGTTCCAGCCCTCACAAGACATACTAAGCACTGAATAGCATTACTTTAGAACAAAGACTTGATTCAGCACACAGTGGCAATTTTCTAAGCTTTATTTCAACACTGAGGGCATTATTTCATCTGAAAATACTATTTTTAAGGTTTCATCGCATTAATTAGGCCCTCTGTGCTCTTTTTAAGAACCACCGGCGTCATTTCAAGTAGACAGAATATTCAGTTATTATAAAAAGGCATTTTCGACGCATAGGTTAGAATTAGTTTAGAATTATTATAAGCTTGTATACAACACTTGTCGACAACAAATGAAGCAACATATGACAGATATACATGCATAAATCTCCAAGTAAAAATTACAAGTAATTAAGGGTAAATTAATGTAAGGGTTTGCAGGAAATTTTGGGGAAATGCATCATTCTCCCTCAAAATTCTCCACTTGAGTCGATTACATGGTCTAAACTAATCACCTGTGTATTTACCTTCCAAGAAGATTTACCACAATTTTTTTGTTATCTGTCACCCCAATAAAATGTTGAAAAACTGTGACAGGGAATTAATATCCGACTGACTAACTGGTACTCAGTTGTTCAAGGGCATAGGAGCGTACGACGTTGAGTAGCGCGGTTTGGTGGCAGCAGATGCAGTCCCAGATCCCAATATCCAATGTCATTTTTACGAGCTAGTGTAAACCATTTTGATATCATTGTTCTCGATTCTTGATTTTGTGGTGAAGTTTCTTTGTCTTTGGTAAACTTCTGCGTAGTTCGTTCGGCCATTCGACTGTCGTAGCTGCGGTTGACTCCAAAAGGAGTGGTGCTAGGATTAATTGTATTTTGTTTGTTGTACGCAGTATGTTAACGATGTGTTGCTACTGTGAAGGGAGTTTTTGACTGAGTATAAAAGGTTAGGACCCCACGTTATTCACCTTCCAGTAGGCTTTTACGGTCGTTTTTCTTTTCTGTCGCCAGTTGGTAGATGGCTGTTTGACTTTATGACACGGTGGGAAATCTAGCTTTTAGCAGCGACTTATTTCCTCCGTTTTTGAATCTTAGTACCATATCCACTGAGACTTGAGCCCAAATAGCTCATTGGTAACACCTGTAACTGCAGTATTGGGCAAATCTCAGAAGTGACATGAGTTCCTTCAGGGTTGGAGGTACGCCCTGTGCGTCAGTGTCACAGCTGTAGAATGCTCTTCAACCAAGCAGGTAGCTCGGGGTTTGATCCCCGGCTGACGCATTCCTTCACCTAGCTAAGCCAGTAATAAGGCTATTAAAGATGGAAGGCTGGGCATGAAGCTAGCAATCCCATCTCGTAAAAATAAACACCACTGCTTCCGAAACTTCAAGGCTTTAGCTTAAAACCCTATGTTCTACGGGGAACTTAAAGGAATAAAATAGATAAAAGATCCACTGAGGACTTATGACATGATGTGGATAAAAAAGGTCATGTCTATAGTTATTTCTCAAAACTTCGGATGTCTTGATTAGATCACGCGAGAACCTACTTAGTATCCATATGGATCCAAAGTTGCCAGCTGCTGCTAAGCAGCAACGCACTATAGTTTTTAACCCATGGCTTACTATGTACTGAAAAGAGAGATGTCCCTGTTATGTAGTTTGCATGGATACTTGTTGACCCAGTGAGCCTGCTTTCACACTTCGCTACAGGGATGAGAGGCTTCCTGTCTTTAAATAAATCTGAAGGTTTGCTGAGGTCTGCTTGCAGTGTATGACACTCAAATCCTTAACCACTCTCGAAATTATTATGCCATCAGCGTAGAGGGCTGTAGAAGATTTGATCAGATTAAATAATTATTGAGTTTTTATCGGTAGGGATAGTGAGTGATTACTCTCCGAATCATTGAAGAGTATGCGTCTCTGTAATACTCCCTGAGAGCTGGACAATAGTCCGTCCAGTATACTTGTCTAACCCAAGAAGCGTATATCAGTCCATGTGCTTCTATGGTGAGTTTTGCCCCTGTCTTTCTACATACATACCTGTTTTTTAAGTGCTATTCATTTAAATAAATAAAATTCGAAAATCCAAGTAAGAAGATACATAAATGTAAATGTGTAGGTATAATTACGAGCAGTGAATCGTGTTTGAAGCGTCATACAGCTACCAGTACTACATCACCGTGTCATATCAAATGAACTTATCCAATATTGATTTATCAGGAACGGTAGTGATGCTTACAACTTTAGGTGAAGCAGTAATTTTCAACCGTCCCTTCACAGCAATTTTCACTGTTTATTCCTCCCAAACTCTGTGATAATCATGAAGGCGCAGTGCACCTTCCAGTATTTTGAGTTTTGTTTTAACGGGTACACATCTGCACTGGCCCGAACGCCATCTTGTACCCTTTTCGCATGATGTTAACAGGCATGTTCTCTGAGTGAGCGGTTCGGCCATACTAGATTAGTTTTAAAATTTTCCCCTCAGTATTCTTAACCTCTTATTCAATTCGGATATAGTATTCATCATAGCACACTACTAAAGAACTGAGTCCTTTTGATTTGCGTTTTGTTGTCAGCACCTACAACCGAGGTAGAATGCCGATTTATTGAGTGATTAGGGAAACTACGTTTATTTGTGACAATGGTCACGATAGTTCACATTTGTCTGTGGCTGATCATGATGAGATTAGCGGAATGCCTACTACTACTGAGTTGAACAAAGGTTCTGTACAACTTGAACGTGAAGTGGAATTAAAGGCAGATGCGGTTGCAGAAGGTATGGATACTAGTGAGACCGTCAGTGTAGATGATTCGCGTGTAGTCCACCTTTCGACAGATGTTAATGCTAAACTGGAGCTAATAATTAACGATTGCAGTGGTGGTAATCCTGCGGTCAGACAACTTCCTAAAGGTCTAACAACAACGGCTTCTGATACACCGCTAAGTTCATCAACTGGTGTCAGTCAGTCGTCGTTGGTGTTGTCATATGCAGTAGAAGAGCCGTCCATGAACCCACGTGTCTTATGCAGTGATTATTCTAGTGTCGGTCCGTTCGAAGGGACGATAGTCAATGGCCAGTTTAGTGACGATAAATCAACTGTGTACAAGAGGATAATAGTGAGACTGACTTGCACGAATAAAGGCATTTCAGGTTTCAAACTACTATTTGAATGTCATTATCTTTGGCGCAAATTACTCTGCACCTTCGCTTGGTTGGTCAGATACGTCGTATGTTTGTTAGTCATCTAACTTCCACGATACAATGTCATGGGCGTGTTACCATTCAGAGTTGAGGATATAGATGATGGAAGGATGTCAGCAAATGAACTCAACGACGATTTTCCAACTTAAGGGCGTCAACATGAGAAGGGTTGTAGGCGTACTGCTGTAAGTCCTGCAGTTCTTCAAGGGTAGTACGTCGAAGAGCAGTCCATCGTACTTGGTGTATTATTTTGTAAACATGTTCATGAAGTATATACTGAATTGGTATCATCCCTCTTCTATCTATTGGTTAATTTTGTTTGTGTCCGGACATCTTTCACTTGGATCGTCAACCTGAGAAGGAATGTAGGGGTAATGTGGAAGGTCCTACAATTCTTCAAAGGTAGCTCGTCAAGGCAGAATCCACAACATTTGATATATTGTTTGTACATATGTTTGTGTTAAGTAATTGAGTGGGTTCCGATTCATCTGATTGTCGGTTAATTTTATAGTTGTTGCATTGTGTGAATCACCTTGTAATGTTTTTTGTAAGTACTTCTGAAGTCGCTTCTAAACTTGTGAACGAATCGAGTAGTGTTAGAGTCAACGTACGCGATTGGATACGCCGGGGAGAGGATTGTGCTAGAGTGGTATGAAGCAACCAATACTTCGTGAACCAGATCAGTGGTGGTATTGTCGTCAGAGAGCTTAGATCCCACGCGCCGGGGAGAGCGTGTCGGTGTGATGTGGTATGCTTGTTGTGTGATGGGCTTTTTTGTCTTGCTTTTCCATTTTAGCCTAGTCCCGATTGGCCCAGGTTCTCGCATTGGCAGTCCAGTTCAAGGTTACCGCCACTGTGGAAAAAAGGGATGGGGAGTGTCAATGGACGTGAACATTGAACGTTTGTTTATTGGAACTGGCAGCCATTGGTGGGCAACTCGAAGGCGCGAATGGTACGATCGCGTGCAAGTTGGAGAAAGGCGGAAAGAACACGAATAAAAGTACTTTATAACTTCATTTGTACTAAACATTTGTTTGTAGACTTTGTATTTTGTCTTGCAGAAAATAGAGAGAAAATAGCACCACATTACAACGATTCACCTATCTAGTAAATAAATATTTCTCTGAAAACAGTCTTGAAACAGTTTGCCACATACTGAAAATTCGTGATATTGTTTCTTTCCCCTTTGAATTACGTACCTAAACAGCTTTGTTCACCCAAAGCATTAACAGAAACGGTCAGTATTATCGGACACATTTAAAATAATCAACGTTGCACTAATGCTGTTCTCAGTTCCTTTTTTTAGTTGATTCAATTGTTTGTCTAGCAAGCACCATCATAAAATATTCACAATCCTTTCATACAAACCTGGAGTGGAATACTCAGCCTGATATACCACGAAAGCTGCACTGAATCAACATGAACTACCCTCACACCTTATGTCATACCTTTATTTGCGTTTGTTCAAAAGTCAATTCGCAGAATTATTTTGGAATTGCATAGAAGTAGTTTCCGACATCTATTATAGCTATTGATGTGAGGTTTAGAAGCGGTTGCTATATCCATTTTGGGAGGACTCATCGATGTCTACAATTAAGGGATACGCATTATATTCCTAAATGCCTGCAGAAGCAAACATAATCTTCAGAAGCCATTAATGGTGAGAACAGGAGTGTCAAGGAACTTAGCCCTAAGTTCCTATTGTAACGAAGACGTCTTCGCTTTGAACCGATAAAGACAATGTATTTGTTTCAACTGCACAAAAGGGTCTTCTCCCACCTTGGAAAGAAAACACAACACAGATGCTATTCACATGACAACATACAGAATCTAAGGACAATGTTAAAAGACACAAACTGGGACCTGTTTACTGAACAAGCTCTTGACAACACAATTAGTAACATAACACATTATCTCAATTTCTGTCTTGATGTTTGTTGTCCTAAAGAGACAATCTTCTTAAAGTTCGACCGTTTCGCCTCATCTCAACTCAAAAAGCCTCGCCGTCAAAAAGAAAGGTTATACAAAATGAAAAATAAATCTGGTGTTAAGAGAATAAACACTTTGATTAAAGCCGAATTACAAAGATTAAATGCTCTCTATAACCAGAAGTTTCTTTCATGTAAATCCTCATCTAATATGTGGAAGCTATTAAAGGAAATCACAGGTGGTAAGCAAATAATGAATGATACTTCTGTCGATGTTGATATGCTTAATAAATCCTTCATATGTATCCCTGCAGATGTTATGATTCCCAAATCTAATAGTATAAATAATGACTGCTTTTCATGTTTTAACACGAATGATGTCCTCAAGTGTCTTCAATCTCTCAGACCTACCCAGTCCCTTGGTCCTGATGGAGTTCCTGCTGTTATCCTTAAGAAGTGTGCTGACATCTTATGTTACCCATTAACTGACATTTTCAATGAATCTTTTTCCAAAAGTTTTATTCCTGACTCATGGAAAAA